TAACTACCGGCGTTCTTACCGCTGGGCGCCAAGCGTTCGCGATCCGCCTCATCCTCATCCTCAAACCTCAAACGCACCAGATTTTCCACCACCTCATCCTTGCCCGCCTCCTCCCTCTTGACCTTCCAATCCGCGACCCTCCAGCCAGCCACAACCTCAGCCTTGTAAAACGTCGTGGTGCCTGGATAAAGCGCGAGCACGTTTTTCCCCTTGTGCAGATCGGGCAGGGTTGTATTAGTGCTGGGCGGGGGGATGGGGATGAGGTGGTTTACAGAGGCGCGGTAGGGGACCGAGGGGGTGGGGGGGTCGGGATCAGCGTCGATTATTTCGTAGCGGCGTTGTTTGCCTTCGCCGATGACAGAGGTGACGCGGCAGAGGATGCCTTCGCCTTCGAAGGAGGCGGAGCTGCTGGAGGAGCGGTGTTTGGCGTTGTTGCGGTAGAGGACTTCGGTTTGGGGGGAGAGGCGGGGACGGGACTCTGTGGGTGTGTGCGAGAGCTGGTTAGTACATGTGTTTGAGTGTCTTTTGGATGAATTGTGGTGTGATATGGCAAAGGGGAAATTGGTGGAACCTCCAATACAGGGTTTCTGTACAAACGGGAACAGGTGTACAAGACAGTGCAGATAATGGGTAGAGAAGACGATATGAGATTGGAAGCTCGTCTATCCGACCTAACAAAGCCTAGAACAAGCCATCGAGATGGAAGAGGAAATTGAAACACTGAAGAAAAGAAGCCATGAGCCGGGTATCATCTGCCGTCTATAGAGTACGCCTTGGAGAACCGAAATAGGAGAAAAAGACACGGCACATGAGACCTTGTCAGAGGACAGCTCTCCTCTGCCGCAAGGATTTGGACTTGGAAGAACGAGTCTTCTTACCCTTACCAAGATCATCTTTGTCGTCGTCCATTTTGACACTACCCTCGCGTGCAGCGGGCACTGAGCCCGCGCGGCTGCTGTTCGATTTGGCCACTAGTCTGTCCTTTTGACTGCTGATAATCACCTTAGGGCTCGGGCCGCCGGGACTATCTGCAGCGACGCTCTCGCGGTCGTCAATGCTATCAGTCAGCTTTCGCTTTCCCTGGCGCTCGCGGCCGGCTTTTCCGCCGCCGACGCTGGTGGCCCGGGATGCGGATGAGAGTTCTGGTGATGCGCGTAGGGCGGAGAGAATGCCGATTTGTGTGGAGATGTCATTACCACCGTCAACAGCTTGGAGGAGAGTCTGTGCTTCGTTGAGATTGCGAATGTTGTCACGAAGAGCTTGCTCTAGTTCGTTGTCGATGCGGGAAGAGGGCTCATCACCTCGATCTGTACATGTTAGCTCTGGTATTTAAGGAGGTCTGTTGGTATGGAATGGCCCACCAATGCGGGCCTTCTGCTGTGCAGTGAGGTCCAGAATTTTATCTTGCAGCGCATCGGATTCTTTCTATGCGATATTAGAAATCATAGCACAGTTACAGTCACAAAGAAAAAGCAGGTTAAATCTCGAAGCAACGCGGTACTTGCAGCAACGTAGTGAAGAAAATGCATGGGGGTGATGGCCTATAGATGCCTGCTTCAGGGCTTCAAGACCGTTGCTCACCATCAGAGCGTCGATTCTCCTTCCTGATGTATTGATATCTTCCCAGATTCTGCTCTTCTCTTGTGCTGGTATGTCGTGCTCTTGTGCTTGGAATCCTTCTGCATTCTTGAGCTCCCTTATCAAAGTACTTTGGGATATTCTTTGAGGACCACATGATGTCTTGGGTGGAATTGCCATTTAGTAGACAAGCAAGAAATTGAACAGGCAATTGGTGTCGAAGAACGATGCTTTGTCGTGATATAGTTGACAATGTGGTTGATGAAAGATCTGTCCTCACCATGAGTTGATCAACACGACGACCGTCCGCCTTGATGGAATTCCAGATAGACCTTTCCTCGTCAAATTCTTCTTTGAGCTGGCCTCCCCTGGGCCTATTGCGGGCAGCCATGTCGATGGTCAGGTGCGCTGCTGATGGTCACCTGTAGGCCTTCCGTGGGGAACGAATAACCAGTTGCAGTGCATGCGCAACGTATTTTGGCGAGGCAAGACCAGGAAAAGGGAGAGGAGAAGGAAAATGGAGGAAGGGAGCCGACCCCATGCACCTAGCAATAGCGACCTTTGTGAATTTAGGATTGTAGTTGAGCGCTGACGGTTGAATGCATGTGCAAGGTACCTAGATACTAGAGCGTATGGAGCCGCACTAAGTGCGGAAGAGGGGCAGCCAAATCAAGCCTAACCCAACGCCAGTGTGACGATATCCGATAGATGACCGATTGTAGGCGCGGGCCCTTAGCAAATATCGTGGAGAGTGCAACAACGCCTCCCTTGTCCGTCAGTCAACCGCCTTGACATTCACCTACACACACACACACACACACACATACACACATATATACAGATATTCAAGATGCGCAATCCACTCATCAGACTCGAATGCGGTATGTACAATCACGTGAATGACTGTTGCTATCATCAATTGATCAAGAATGCAGGTGTCAACAGCTACGACTGGGGTGCGCTGCCCCCCACGCTTCTCATTTTATACCGACTCGGCGGGATGCTGAAGAGACCCAGGCAAAATCGGCAAGACCTCTGCGGCTGCCAAGTTCCATGCTGCCACGGCTTCAGACTTCTCCATTCAGGAAGAGAAGCCTTATGCTGAGGTAGAACGCACCAACAACTGCAATTGGCGGTGTGCCGTCTGGCTGACTTGTATACCTAGCTATGGATGGGAACACACCCCTCGCTCCCTTCCAAGGACCTCGAAACCAAGCGCACGCTTCTCGACCTCGTGCAGGAAAACCAGGCACTGCTTTCGACCGACATTGCTGAGCGCTATGAGAACAAACTACCCTTCTTGTTCAAGGTCCTATCCATCAACAAGGCCTTGAGCATCCAGGCGCACCCAAACAAGAAGCTTGCTGAGCAGCTCCACGCAAAGGACCCCAAGAACTACCCAGGTCAGATAATCCAACACAAGGCTAGAAAGAGACCAGGCTAATGCATCGGGTAGATGACAATCACAAGCCCGAAATGACCATTGCGGTCACCCCCTTTGATGGTCTCTGCGGTTTCCGCCCCCTCGCTGAGATAACCCACTTCCTCCAAACCGTTCCGTCCTTCCGCAAGCTTGTCGGCGAAGAAGAAGCAAAAAAGTTTGAAGAAACTGTCAAGGGCAAGGAGACTTCAGATCAGGAGGAGGACCAGCAAGCCAACAAAAAGGCCCTGCAATCCGCCTTCACCAAAGTCATGAACACCTCCCAAGACGACCTGGCCTCTGCCAGCGAAGAGCTCATCAAAGCCGCCAAATCAGAAGGCGCATCCTTCGCTGGCAACGGCGGCCCCTCCAACGACGGCCAAGAACTCGCCGACCTCGTCGTCCGCCTCAACTCGCAGTTCCCCGGCGACATTGGCCTCTTTGTCCAATTCTTTCTCAACTACGTCAAGCTCGAGGTTGGCGAGGCCATGTTCCTCAAGGCCGACGACATCCACGCCTACCTTTCCGGCGACATCATCGAGTGCATGGCCTCGTCGGACAATGTGGTACGCGCCGGCTTCACGCCCAAGTTCAAGGACGTGGACACTCTCACGAACATGTTGACGTATAGCTACGCGCCCATTAGCGAGCAGAAGATGGAGCCCAAGGACTATCCCCACGTCAGACTCAACGCCCCAGCCTACAGCTCCAACTCGTCTGTCCAACTGTACGACCCGCCCATTCCAGAGTTTGCGGTTGTGCGCACCGCGCTCCATCGTTTGGATGCAAAGGCCACCTTTGATCCCATCAATGGGCCGAGCATTATCCTTTGCACAAAGGGCAAGGGCACGATTAGTGTGGGACCCAAGGAGGAGAGCATCCAGGAGGGCTATGTGTTCTTCGTCGGGGCTACGGCCGAGGTGGTGATTAAGAGTGAGACGGATGCTGAGGATGGGGATGGCCTGGTTACGTTCAAGGCTTTTTGCGAACTCGAGGATCAATAGGCAGGCGTTGTGATGGGGTTGTTGGGGATTATGACTTATGACGTGTACGCACAGGATACATTGAAAGAGCAATGAACATGAACAGTTTTATCGTGAGCGGAGTAAAATCTGATCATAACATGTCTAGTCTACTTTTTTCATAAATCTTGGGTATCATACTCACCACTTCACACAGTCCATGCACGCCTTGTAGCTTTCTCTCTCTTTCTCTCTCTCTCTCTCTCTCTCTCTCTCTCTTTCTCTCTCTCTCTCTCTTTCTCTCTCTCTCTCTCTCTTGCACCCAATTTTGTCCTCCCCGCGAGCGCCATCCATGAACCCCCTCAAACGCCCCAAGCGCCATTTGCATTTGCAGGAAAACGTTCTCAAAAAGCATGGCGCAAACCCCGTCCAAAACGCCCTATACCCACCCTCCCTCCAGACAGCCTCCGCCGCAATCCTCCACGTTGGAAAGCGCTTGTTTGCGCCCAAGCCATCCGTCATGATGCGCTGCTTGACCACATCAACAGGGTAGCTAGTAATCCAAAAGACCTGGGCGCTCAAACCGCCGGCCCAAAAGTTGACTGCGGGGGCGGAAAGGGTAGTGTGGGATTGCAGGGCCGTGGTGAAGAGGTAGTAGCTGCCCCACCAGAAGCAGAAGAAGGTGCGGAAGAGCAGGGTAGCGGATAGACCGGTGTAGACGCCGCGGAGGCCGTGGGCGCGGTGGATGCTGGTGAGGCAGTGGATGGGGCCGGTGTAGAGGCGGGAGGATTTGGAGGCTGAGTATTGGATTTGGAGGCGTGCTTTGATGTGCTCGATTGGGGCGGCGAGGAGGGATACCGTCCAGCCGGCTAGGGTGCCGGCGAGGGCGTGGCCGTAGATGGGGAGTTTTTTGTTTTGCTGGTGGGAGGCGGAGGGGTTGAAGATGTGGTCGTTGAGGAGGCGGCGGTATACGTTTAGGGAGCCTAGCATGCTGTGGGTGTTTCTGTTAGATTTCTGATTCCTGTTCGGTTTGCGATTGGAGGGAGGGAGGGTTTGGGGTTGGTGTTGAAGTAGAGGTGTATTGCGTACATTGAGTCCATGAACATCCATCCTACAAGGGGCGGTGTAGCGCCTTTGTAGAGACCTGCAAAGCCTTCTTTGCGTAGAGTCTGGAGAAGACAATCTACTGGGCCGCGGAATTGGGATTTGCTGGTTGTTTGAAGTCGGACTTTGACTGTGTCGAAGGGGTGACCGACTGTTGTTCTCGCGATTAGGTCAAGTTGAGGAGGCTTTCAAGGCTATCCTACCTGAAAGCTTCGCGATACCGGAGAAGACACCAGCTACGAAGCCTCGATAGTGTTTGGGCGACTTTTGCGAGTCCTTCTCGGGCTGCATGAAGCGCGTTGCAGCAGGCTTATCGCCCGTCTTCATGATTGTCGTAGCCATTGTCGGGCGGTGGTTCTACTGGTCGACGATTATCGGAATCATGCCTACCTAGCCTTTCCCTCACCGAAAACAAGATGGATCTGGCTGGGGAAGACTTTAGACAAAAACAACACAAGGAGAAGAGAGAAGATGGGTGATCAACGTTGCATCGATTAGGTACAGTCCAACCATGCCTCAGCTGCGAGCGGTAAAGAAAGCCTTACCACGCTGGGTCGGAGAAGGGCAAGCGTCCGCGGGTGAGAAGCTGAATGATGACGATCTTGACAGGGACGCGAGATCGGAATTCGATCGGGACTCGGAACCATTTTCTCCGCGCATTCGATGGGTGGCAAGCCTTGCCTTTACAGCGGGGTCTAGATTGGTCGCGACATCAAAAAAAATGGCCTGAATGCGAATGGTCAAGTACAGTAGAGTAGCTTAGTGTTCCACTTTGCGCCCCCCCTCCCATGACAAACAGCCGGAAGGATGTCTTGTGCGATGAATAACGATGGCGTCTTCTCTGCTCCTGCTTCCTGCGTTGGTCGCTTCGTTACTCTCGGGAAATTTCACACTTTGGGTTTGACTGAAGAAGACGAGCGTTGACCCAAGATATGGCGATATCAGCTTCTACAGATGCGCCCGCGGTGCAGTCAAAGAAAGGTACGTATCTGTAGAGAATTCCGCACACGCAGGGCCATGCTGCGTTCAAGTACCTCTCTACCAGTATACATCCTAACGAAGACGACGTGCGCAAACAGTCTGGACAACCCTCATCACAAACACAGCCTACCTAACCGGCCTCCTCACCCTCGACTACTCGCTCAAGAAACATGGGTCCAAATACCCGCTCGTAGCCCTCTATACCGACACCTTCCCCGCCGACGGCCACGCTGCCCTCGACGAGCGCGGCATCCCCAAACAACATGTCAAATACCTGCTGCCCAAGGTGCAAAAGGACTTTACCGACGACCCGCGATTCTACGACTGCTGGAGCAAATTGACGCCTTTTTCACTGGAAGAGTACGATCGCGTGGTGCAGCTGGACAGCGACATGCTGGTCCTGAAGAACATGGACGAGCTCATGGAGATGGAACTCGATGCGCTGAGCGAGGCTGGGAAAGGCAGCCGAGTATTTGCAGCGAGTCATGCGTGTGTGTGTAATCCGCTGAAGAAGCCGCATTATCCCGCGGATTGGTACGTGGTCTTGTATTTTGTGGGCTAGTCTGTTGGAAAGAAGGCTCGGATCGGTACTGACGAGGACATGCTGTTAGGATCCCGGAGAATTGCGCATTCACATCTCAGCATGACCATTGCGCGCTCGCACAAAAGCAAGGCGCACCCTCGTCCGCTGGCCTGGGCATGCCCAACGGTGGCTTGCAAGTCGTCATTCCTTCCCTGGCCGTCTACAATCTTATCCTGGAGCAATTGTCCAACGAGACCGCTGGCTCTTACGACTTTGCAGACCAGTCGTTGCTGGGAGATTTATTCAGTGGGCGATGGGTTGCGCTACCGTATATTTACAATGCGCTGAAGACGATGCGGGTAGAGGGTGTGCATGATAAGATTTGGGTGGATGACAAGGTCAAGAATGTACATTACATTCTGAGTCCGAAGCCGTGGGAGGAGGCGCCGGGAAAATGCAGTCAAGAGGTGCATGAGTGGTGGTGGGTTGTCAATCTGGAGAGGCTGGAGAAGGAGAGGGGAGAGGGGATCAAGGATGGGTTCTGATGTACATGGACTGTCTCATAGCCTTTCCAAGGTTGTACTATACTGGGCACTGGTAATTCAGACTATACATGGTAGATTAGTAAGACGTGCGTTCTCTCTGTAGTTGTCAGGGTACGTGGCAAATCTTGGAACTGGGATTTCCGTCGCGTTGATTCTTGGGCACGTCTAGAGATGGATATACTACCACGCAGATCAACCAGGGATTGCCCATTTGTTCTTCTCTTCGAAATGTAGTAGTATTCCAAACGATCTATTACGTCACGAGGTCTTTCCACGAATCAAAAAAAGAGAATGCTGTTAGCCGTCCTGTGTACCCAGTCATCAGCAGTACTTGGACGCAGTACCCACTCGGACTGCCGGCCCCAGAGAAGGATGATTGAGTGCATGAGATGCTGAAACATTCCATGGAAACATCTGGAGAAGCGCCGTCTCAGGGCGAGCATCGGTCCACACTGCAAGACTTGAAAGGCAAGAAAAAAAACAAGAAGAACGAAATGGAAACCGCCGATGGCCAGTTTGTCGGAGAGGCGCGAAGCATAGGAAGGGGTGTAGGGGCGGTGGTATCTACACAGTACATGCGGTACCTGTGTGCACAGTACGTGTAGGTACCTGCATACTTGGCCTTTTTCTGCTCCATTGCGGGACTCGTTGCACACTGCAGCGCGTTCACCGTGCCGGTGGGAAAAAAAGGACAAGGGGTCAAGGGTAGGTACATGAACTCCTGCAGCCAGTGTGTGTGTGCATGTACAGAGTAGAGTACCTAGTGAGTACTCTATGCAACGGCCATGAAGTGGCTGCATGTGCCCTGGAACCTCATCTTATAGGCATAGCCACTTTGCAGAGTGGAGTACGGTAAGGGGAGAGAAGAGGAGGACCGCCCTCTGCGCACCCCCACGCACCACCCTTTTCCAGCGCGACATGTGTTGTCGGCGTGTCTGCTGCATGTCTTGTGTGTAGCTGCCGGTATCAGTGGGCTCCCATGCATGGAGGGGGGCCGCTTAGGCTGTCGGTTGTGTTGTCGGTTGCTTGTTGTCTGTCTGTCTGACTGTCTGTCTGTCTGCAATGTGGACACGGGATCTTCCTCAGTTGGCCTAGGTGCCCTGCCGATCTGCAGCGTGCCTGCCGAGTTTCACCCTGAGCCTTGGGCCGAAGACCAAGTCCCCGTACTCCTCATCTCACAGGCAGCGGAAGAAAAAAGTGTCCCTCTACCACTTTGGGCCCTCCACTCTCTCTCTCTCTCTCTCTCTGTCTCTGTCTGTCTCTCTCTCTCTCTCTCTCTCTCTCTCCACATCCAACATCCACAACCCAGTTCCTACGCCTCTCCTGCGCCTCTCCGCATTCCACTCCCTTGTCCACCCACCGCGCCGCTGATTTTACACGTACGCGCCTCCTGTTTCAAACCCTCAAGGCCCTACACGGCAGCCGCTACCGTCGGCCCAACCATCATATCGCGTCTATCAACAAACGACGTCGCCTATCAGCATCCACCACTCAGCACCCACCAACAGCACCACCACCACCACCACCACCCACTCACCCTCGTCCAACACTCGGTCAACGACGAGTAGTCGCCTTGAACGACCTCGGTCCATATTCGCAGCCAAACAGACATCATGGGCGCCAGCATCTCCAAGATGATGGCCAAGATCTTCGGAGCCAAGGAGATGCGATTGTTGATGCTGGGCTTGGACGCGGCAGGGAAGACGAGTATGCAATATCCCGCTCTCCTATGAACTCTTGTCTCCTCTCTCCCTCTCCCTCTCTCTCTCTTTTCATTTCCCATGCTGGTTCCATGACCACGGACCTGCAGCTAACGCATTGCGCACAGCTATCCTCTACAAGCTCAAACTCGACCAGGACGTCACCACAATCCCCACCGTAGGCTTCAACGTCGAATCTGTCACGTACAAGAACACCAAATTCAACGTCTGGGATGTCGGCGGCCAGGACAAGATCCGTCCGCTATGGAGACATTACTTCTCTGGTATGTTGGGGCGCGATCGCACGGTTCCTGGTATGCAAGTGAGCAAGCGTGCTTTCTGCACAAGGCTCCCAATGCTACCGGATGCCTTTCCATTGCGTACACCCTTTGGCCATGGACGTACTGACTCAGTGCTACAGGAACCCAAGGCCTCATCTTCGTCATCGACTCCAACGACCGCGACCGTATCGACGAGGCACGTACAGAGCTCACAAGGATCATCCAGGACAGGGAAATGAAGGATGCGCTATTGCTGGTATTTGCGAACAAGCAGGATCTCCAAGGAGGTATGTGAACCCTTCGAAGCGCCACTTTGGCATGCCACTGCATGGACGAGGCTGACACAGCCACTAGCCATGCGGCCGAAAGAAGTATCCGACCGCCTGCAACTCGATAAGATTGCAAAGGACCACGTGTGGAAAGTTGAACCTAGTTGTGCAACCACAGGAGAGGGTATCTTTGAGGGATTGGTACGCCGCCGCTCCCTTCTCTGCACGCTTCCATGGCACTAACACCCCATCCAGGCATGGCTCTCCAACAATGTCAAGCTTCCCGCCGGCGCCAAGTAAATCACACGCAGCCTTCACACGCAGCTCCCTCCTCACTACTCCTCCGATTTTCCTCTACGACTTGCATGCACTACTCACTCTGGCTTCCTGCATATACCCGGTTTTCTCCTCGCTGTCTAATGCCCTTATACCTTACTATAATCTTCTTAATATCGGCTCTCCAAGCTTACATTTGTCGGTTTCTTGTCTGCTTTGCATGCACGTCCTGTTGTCTCCCGTGGACTGAGATATCTCCACCCCCCTCTTCTCATCAGATTGACGGTCGTGCTGTTGTTGTTCATGTTGTTGTACCATTGACCTGTATCTTTTGTACGGAACGGGACGGGATCGGAGATTGTTTCATACGTGATTGTTCATAGCGGGTGGTGGTGGCGTGGGGATTTGGGATGGGTCTTTTCATTTTCTTTTGGTGGTGGTGGGAGATAGATGACGAATATGCGTATATCTGATGTTCTTGACTCGTTTTATGCTCGTTATTGTGGGATGTCGTTTGTTGTCTAGGTTGGGCGCGAAGGTTGCACAGCCGATTGTGTGCTGTACTAACTGGAATGGATATTGACACCCAGCAGGGATCGTACTTCCCGCAGGTCCTTCTACACAGGAAAGCGGTATGTTGCCAGATTGGGTAATTCCTTCTCACTACCTCAGCGCGCTACTTGTACCAGTTTCCGAGACCTGATATCGACAAGTCTTTGTTTACCGTGCAACGTCCCACCAACATACTCTCGTTAGGATATCGTTCAACTCGTTTCGAACAACTGCCTCCAACATTCACGTCTGATATTTATGCGCCGCTGCTCCAAGTGGATATAGTATTGATAGCTGTCTGCTTCGCCAACATTACATATTCCCTTGATAAGGGATTTCGGTCACTGTAAGTGCATTTGACTAGACGGTATGGAAGGCTGATGCTGATGCTAATACTACTACTTAAGACTGTCTAGCACAAAGTATCACTCATCGCAATAACTAATCAAAGCAAAACACCATTCTTCAGGTGAAAACATGTCTGGAAAGCCACGCCGCCGTGGTGGTGCATTCGGAAATGGAAATGGTACAGCACGTGGCAGCCAGAGTGCAGGTGCTTCTACTGGATCTGGATCTAGTAGGTTTGACACTGCTGTGTCCCTCGGAATGTACTGATTCTTATGTTCAGGCGAAGCTCCCCCGGATCTATCCCGACTCTCACTAGGCCCATCCAACATTCCCACTGCCGTCGATGGCAGTTGGCTTCAAATGGCTCCGCCCGTTACTCCACCTGCTCGCAGGCCGGTCCCCGGAGACCTCGTCGATCCCAAAATGTTCAGCAAGTTGCTCGAGGACATTCGTAAATACGCAAAGACCGCAGAATTTCCGCTCCGGAAGATGTTCCACACCACAAGGGCCTCTGTTTACACCAATCACTTTGCCCTGAAGCTTGACCCCAAATTGCCATTATATCAATACGAGATCAAAGGAATGCCGACTAATATGGGAAAGCGGAAAAAGAAGGCTCTTGTTGATGCATTGATTAACAAGACCGGTTTCTTGAGGAGCCATCAAGCTGAGTTTGTGACGGACTTTCGTTCACTCATCATCTCCTGGGTGCAGTTCCCCGAAGAGACACTGGACCCCACTCCTGTCCATTACAGAGATGACAGAGAGGATGAAGAAGCCATCGTTCTTGAGCTCGCCTACAATGGGGTTGTGGATACGCAACTGCCCAGAGAGTATAGTGAGGGCAAGGCTGAACCCACAGAAGTGAGTCACATTTAGTCCTGCTGTTGGGGTTCATACCTGTAGCAGGGATCCTAGACTACAAAGTCGGCACGAGGCCTTGCTTGGGAAGCAGTTACAAACCTAGCTGGGCTAACACGAATCAGCGTACACGCAAGGCACTCACGGTTATTGAGTGTGCCCTCAATTTAGTCATTTCGAAGGCTATGAATCACAGAGACTCCTTCTCTTTGAGAGCAAACAAGATCTTTGTGACTAGTGGTCACTCACCTCTCGGATCGTCTTTGTGCGCAATGCGCGGCTACTTCTATTCCATCAGGCCCGGCATGGGCCAGATCCTTCTCAATCTCAATGCTTGCACGAGCGCCTTCTACAATCCCATCCTCGTTAGCCAATTCGTGTCGGACAGAAAAACTTTCAAGAATGAGGCTGCCGGCTTTGCGGCTTTGCGGGGTGTGAGGGTCCAATTGATGTATGATCCAAAGCACAGTGGAAAACAGCCAAGATCCAATGCCTCCACTATTGCAGCTCGGATCAAGACGATCATAGCAGAAGGCGGTCCCTGTGATGAGCAAGGCTTCACCCTGAAAGAGGGTGGTAAAATGACGATAAAGGATCATTTCGAGAAGAGTAAGTCATCTTGTGTCTTCTAGTGTGCATATAAAGCCGGTTACCTTCTCTAGCGAAATAGAGCCTATGTGCTGACATTATTAGCCTACAAAATGCGCCTACAGTTTCCAAAGTCGAGTGCGGTCAACTGTGGTACAAGAGAAAATGCAATGTGGTACCCTCCCGAGGTGCTGCAGATCTTACCATACCAGCTGTTGAAAGGCAGGCTCCCGGAGGCGCTTTTGAGCGACATGATTGAGGTTGCCTGCCATCACCCAGCAGATGGCCGCGCACTGATCGAGCATGAGGGTCTCGTTTTGATGGGTTGCCACAACGGAAAAGGCTTCGCACCATTTGTGAGTCTGCATCTCTCACTGATACAATTCTGATAACCGTGTGATGATTAGCTGGTACTGACTGGGAATAGCGTGCATGTCCGCCCATCTTGATTGATCCTCGTATGCTCAAAGTTCCTGCCGCTGAGCTCCCAATCCCAACGGTCACGTATGGTGGAGCGGCATCGAAAAATCGAGCGGCAGTCAAGGACGGCAAGTGGAACCTCGCCGGCCGCACTTTTCTACAACAAGGCTCTATCAAACTCAAGTTGTTCATCATCTTTTCCCCCGAAGGTGGTCCGCTTCCAGGTGATTCCTTGAAGTTGTTTACCGAAGGTTTTGTTGAGAATGCCCGCACCTACGGCATGACATCGCACACAGTGGTTGGTGGTAAAACAAGTCGAGTCTTTACAAGTTTGGAGGTTGCGGAGGAAGTGTTCAATGAAGCCAAGAGCAAAGGCGCCAACTTCGTTCTGCTGGTCCTGAGCAAGAAGAATACCGTCGCATATTCGATACTCAAGGATCTCGCCGATCGAAAATATGCTCTGCAGTCGCAGTGTGCAGTCTACAAATTGGACAAATTCGGGCTTCCGTTTGGAGACCAACAATGGGGCAACTTGATGATGAAGGTTAATTTGAAGGCCGGCGGGACCAACCATACTAATGCGGATGTCTCGAAAGTCCTGGCGAACACGTTGATTCTCGGAGCGTAAGTTTTGAAAGGGTACTGAACGAGTGTATGCTGAAGCAATGTCACAGAGACGTCACGCATCCCGGACCGGGAGCGCTGCTAGGGACGCCCTCTATCGCAGCCATTGTCGGTTCAGTAGACCAGCACGGCGGGAAATTTCTTGGCTCCATGCGACTTCAGCCCCGGGATTCTGCGTGTGAAGACATCAAAGATGTGAAGGGCATGGTGTCGGAGCGCATTCGGGCATGGTTCATCCACTTCAAGAAACTTCCTGCAAACATATTGTACTATCGGGACGGTGTCTCTGACTCGGTATGTGACGCCGTTCTGTCGAAATACATCTCACTGATCATATGTAGCAATACGCCCAGGTCAGAGATGGCGAGTTGCCACAGATTCGCGCAGCTTTCAAGGAAGCCGCCAAAACATGCAATGTGATGAACAACAAGTTCAAATTGACAGCCGTGGTGGTCGCGAAGAGACACCATGTGCGCTTTATGCCGGGCACCGACGATCCAAACTATGCAAAGCTGGACCCCCGGAAGGAGGCGAACGGAAATTGCAAACCGGGTACGCTCGTCGACACGGTGGTCACCTCACCCTACTTTAGCGATTTCTACCTTCAGTCCCACGATGGTATCAAGGGTACCGCGATACCGGCACACTACTTCCAGTTGGTGAACGAGATGGGCCTCAAGGACACTGATTTGCAAGAGCTGGCAAGTGATTGCGCTACACTTGCAGGCTTCCCCAGGCCTATCATTACTTTCAAAGACAACACAGTTAACGTAGAATCCAGACCTACAAGCTCTGCTACACCTATGTCCGCGCCACGAGAGCAGTGTCTTACGCTCCACCCGCATACTACGCTGACCGACTCTGCGAGCGTGGCCGGTACATCTCCCACCCACCCCACCTAATCACAATCCACCGTATACTAACACCCACACAGTATATACCTCCGCGACTTCCTCACACCCGACCCCCAATCCACACTCAAGCAGGCACACTCGCAAAAACAAGACGAGGTCAAGAAGGCGCTACAGGCTGCCCGCGAGGCCAGGTACAAGCACCTGCGTACAGAAGTCACCGAAGGCAAGAAAACATGGCTGCGCAAGTCTGCGGCGGAAAAGGAGCAGGAGCAAAGGGATGAGAGACGTGTGGAGGATGTGGTTAGGGCGTGGACGTTTGAGCAGGCGACTCCGGTGTTTTATAGCGCGGAGGTGGCGAAGAATCCGTGGGCGGAGTGGGTGGGGCAGACTATGTTTTGGATGTGAGGGAGTGTGAGGTGGGGTTGGGTGGTATGGGAATGGGGGTAGGTGGTATAGCGGACCGGAGGGGGGGGGGGGGATAAGGTGGGAAGTTTGGGGGGTTTGGGGAATGTCGTCACGCCTACGACAAATATATACAGCG